ATGCCAAGGCTTAAAGTAGCAACAACGCTACACATAGAAACTGATGATGGTGGAAAACACCGAAACGTATTTTAATTGATAAATAGACAATAAAAGCCCAGGAATTGATTTTGATTTGAAATTGAAACAGTCAGGAAAGTATGTACAATAACTCATTATGCAACGTATTTTATTCCTGTGTGTCTTATACTAAAGGGACTAAATTGCGTGGCAAAAAACTGGCCGCTGGTGTTGAGCGCCTAAAATCCGCCCAAGAAAATGGGCCCCTGCTCATTTAAAATCACTCCTACCATACCACGCCAATAGTCAAAGTAGTCTTTGGCCCATAGGGAACAATTGTTTAAATGCCGATACAGCTTCTGGCCTTTGTCGATAACATCGGCAACAAACTGCGCTTTGGCCAACCCAATCAGTTTCTTCGGTGCTTTGCTCATCATCAATCCCATCACATCAGTGATCAGTGAGCGCCTGAATCTGTCGGGCTGTTCTTGTACAGCCACGTCTCGTTTCTCGATTGTTTTTAGGTACTTTTTGGCAAAAACCGACAGTGGCGGGAACCAAAGAGTCAACAGCCCGAAAAATTGATTGTCTATGTCGACTATTGAGCTGATCACGTACTTGCAACTTGGCTGGTCCATATCGAAGTTGGGCAACTTGTGGAAGTTGGAAGCAGTCGATCCATCAGTGGAGGCTAAAAGTGATCAATAAATAAAATAAATATCGGTGGTTTGTCTTCAGTTGTTTGCCCGGATTTGTTTAAACTTACCGATTATGAGGGAAGCGCAGAAAATCGGCAAAATCCCAGTCATTTCAGCTATTCGTTTGAAGGAAGCCAAGCAAACGCTTTAATTGAACGTGCATGTTCAAGCGGCCGGCCAGCGAAACCACCTGCAGAATAAATTAGTTTTATTGCTAATAAAATGTTGTTAACCGATGCCATTAAGCGAATCTTTATGGCTTTGAGGTCGATTGAAATTGTTATAGTTTTGATTGCGCCGTTAAGAATTTTGGCTCGGGCAACTAGAATCTGATTTCGGCAGTTTCGGAAAAATCCAACGATGCCAAACCGAATTCTGTGGCTCGAATGGTTCTGGAGAAACTTCGAAAAAAGCAGCGTCATGTTTGAGTCGATTTTGCAACTCAAAAAAAAACACGCAAATCTAAAACTTCTTGAATTCAAGCATTTTTTGAGAAAACTGCCAACGTTTCCTTATCGATGGCTCGCTTTCCAAAAAGGCCATTTATTTCTCTCTAGAATGACGTGCAAATTAGCGTTCTTGCACCTTTTGCTTCCGAGAAATGAGCAAAAACGGGACGGAAAACATGGAATTTTGGCATAATCTTGCACCTAAGTGTCTGATATTCAAATTTTGCTTTCTGGGACAAAACTACTCGAATTTTCTGACTCACGTTGTTATGAATGAATCGAGTTTTCAATTCTCTATCCAACGATGCCAAAACCAATTATGTGGCTCGAATGGTTCTTGAGAAACTTCGAAAAAAGCAGCGTCAAGTTCAAGTGGATTTTGCAACTCAAAAAAAACCACGCAAATCTAAAACTTCTTGAATTCAAGCATTTTTTGAGAAAACTGCCAACATTTCGTTATCGATGGTTCACTTTCCAAAAAGGCCATTTATTCCTCTCTAGAATGATGTACAAATGAACGTTCTTGCTCATTTTGCCTCCGAGAAATGAGCAAAAACGGGACGGAAAACATGGAATTTTGGCATAATCTT